TCTACATGAAAAGAATAACACTAATATTTGACCAAAAGATATTTTTTATTATTAATAATCAATTTATTTCCAGTTACATTTTGATACCAAACGCTATTTTAATTCCTCTTCCGTTTATCATCTTGTTCTATTTCCTTTCTCACATATAACTGACTGAAAATAAACAAATTGAAATGTATTCTATTTTTAAGTATTCTTACAATAAATAATTATATTATTTCAAATTTATCCTTATATTAATATTTTAAAAGTTAAAACTTATTACAACATTTCATTGTTCAATAACAGTAACATATTTAAACTAGATCTCCACTCAAACTAAGCACGAGTAGAAAAGACGTCTGACTGCAGAATTTTTATAATTCTCATATATGTTCATAGTTATTTTTTAAAATCTAATTTATCTATATTAATAAATGAAGTTGAACATTGATTGATAACGAATATCAATTGCATATCCCTTTATTCGAACATTATTGTTCTTTTTATTTTGTATATATAGTAAATCTTCGAGACTCTTCATGGATAAAGTTAATTTATACAAAACGATAATTAACGTGTATATGCATATAAGATACGAGATATCAATGGTCACTAAAATACTAAGTGATTTATAACTATATAAAGAAATTACCAGCTGTTAATTACCATTTATTTTTGTTCTTGCATCTTCCACACGGAGTCAAAGAAAAATGAATTTTAGATGTGCCCTACGCACATTCTCACGAGTTTGACAAGCTTTTTTGTGAGATGTGGGTGAATCTCTTCTTTCTGACCTCATCCAAACTCACCCACACCAAAATCAGATTTTTCAATGTAGAAACTCTCAGTTACAGCTGATAGTTTGATGTAAGAAACCTTACAAGCATTTGTCTCATTACCATTTTGATGTAGATAAACATATATGACAAGTTAATCTAAGAAGACAATGAATTTATAAACTGTTCATTGATTGAAATATATAATTTTGTAGAATGCATCAATCTAGTCCAATGTTATTTTCCTATCGTACTAATCTCCGAATGACTAATTTCATCTTATATTTCATTGAGAACAATTTTTTTCATAACAGCTTTATGTGTTTTTTTTATCTGAATAGATTTAATACAAAATTTATCGTTTCAATGGAATAATATTCATCATATTAGATGATTATGATTTTAATTTTGTAACATTCTTTATATTCCCATAGGTATTCATATTGACAATCTTATGTTTGAAAAGTTTCCTGTTTTGAAATTTTGTTGTCTCATAACGTACTTGCTTGGATATATTTTTCGACAATTTTTGCAGCTTTAATTAAAATTATCTTAGTGCTCTTTTTAAAAATCAATAGAAGATGCTAGATAAATGAATATTATTTCATTGAAATGATAAGTCTCCTATAAAACACTTGCAGAGGTGAAACACATACTGATGTTATGAAAAAGAATTTTTCTCAAAAATATAAAATGAAATTATTCACTCACAATTGATAACATGAATGCAATAGAGAAAAAGATATCTTTTGTAGAACTTTAAAAGATCTATGAAAAAAGAAATAGAGGAGGCAGATCAAACAAATTGATTCAGTCATCTATAGATAATCAGATCAAAGTGAAAGTTTTGTAAATGTCCTAACTTTCCTCTCAACTGATGATTTACTTCGAAAATATTGATATCAAATGCTATCAAGATTTGATGCTTTTCTTTAACCAAAAAGTAATTGACTAGAGGCAATAGTTCCTTGAAAAGAGCAACAACAATTATATTCGATATGAAAAGAAAAAGACATGAGTAGTCTGTAGAACCATAAGTTTTCTTTAAACGACAACAGTTGACTAAATTAACTTTATCATTCACTGGACTTATCTCAATGTACGAGGAAACAATAGTTAAGAAAAAACACATTTTTTATATGAGTGCATAACTAAATTTATAAAAATCATGACTTTTCAGAAGAATTTGAACAGTTTGTTCAAGATTTTTATTGATAAATTTACTAGCAATCAAAAAATTTGCGTATAAATACTACATTGTATGGAAATAACTATTAAGGCTAATGATTCAAATGTTTCTCTGACTAGCCAATACTTCAGTAGGAGTTAGCAGACATGTTTTTTTTTGTTTTTGTTTTCAATGCATAATTATTAAAACAACCAATAACATAACTATTAACTATTTCTACCAGCGTTCTGCAAGATTTCAGCATTATCATTTTACAGATCGTGACTTTTCAAAGTTCTCTTTTATTTTTGAATAAATTTTGAAAAATTTATATTCCAAATATCCAAACACAAAATATAAGATTTTCTTAAGGTTAATTAACGAACAGAGTGAATATTTATGATACAAGTCAATTCTAATTTTATCTGAATTTTCAATTATTCAGAAGAAATATATTTATTTAAGATTAGAAGACTTAACTGATAATATCTCAGATTTTCTCAATTTCGTCGATGGCGAATGCCTGAGAAAGAATGTCTTTGCAAGAGTTCAAGAAATAACATATTGAAGAAAATCAGGTAATCTTATATTACAATAAAATCGAATGATCGAGTTTATGATCCTGATGATTCTTAAGAGTAGATATCAATGACAATTATTAGCTAGAAAAATGTGGATGAGATTGATTGATCTATTCGGAAGAGACAGACAATAAACTGTAGCTGTGGAAAAATATTTTCTTAATCTAGAAGATTTGCAACGACTTGTTTGTTAAAACAAAACGCAAATTAAATTGATAATTGTCCCAAAATCAAAAAAAAGAAACACTTCTTCAGAAGAAAAAGTGAAGAATACAACGAATTCCTAGACAATAGAATGTATGGCTTTGTAGATGAACCGAAAACTCACACCTTATTGTATATATTTCTGTTTAAATTAAATTTTATGAGAAAAAATTTCTTTATTTTATTTCGTCACATGTATGCAAAGTTTACTGTGTCAACAACAAAAAAAAATATTTGAAACAAAGTTAAATAAGTTAGAACACAAAATTTAAATCACGAAAGTAGATTGTGAGAAAAAAAGTTTTGAAGCTAATCGTCTCTCCTATTTTCAGTAATGAAAATAGAACAGGATTCAACATCATACTATTCATTGAAACAACGACTTCTTCCATAAACAGATATTAGTAATTTTGAAAAAATGAATAAATATAAATAGGCATATGAAAAAAAAAATGATTAGCTAAAATATAATCATTTTTGTAAAGTTGTGATGTTATATTCGATTATCAAACGATGTTCGATGGAATATTTTGCAAAGCGATCAATTTACATTTATAAACATTTACCAAAAATCCAGAAATAAATTTAAAATAAAATCTAAATATGTTTGAAGTATTCTAGAATGTGTTTACAAGCCTTTTAGTATCTTTAGAATGTAACAGGAACATGGTGCGATCATTTTCTTACAGAATATTCTTTAGTGATGATCGGATTTTCGTTATTTATGATTTATTTTTTCTGAAATCTTGCATTTTGATGATTGTATTGTTGAGTTTTAACTTATGCTTTTCATTAAAAAAATTCTCAGAAATTTACAATCTAAAATAATTTTACAGGATAATACCGCGCTTGTCAGGCATCGAACTGAACTCGAACCTGTGGAAGTTGGTTTGATTCTTTTTCTAATAGTTATCGTTAAATAATGTCAATGATGAATTGCTTTTTACATTAAAATATTCAATTTTTTTCTTTATTATGAAATTTTTTTTGTATTGATAATAAAACAATAAAAAATACGAATAATAAATCAAGAAAAAAGAATTATTATTTGAATAAAAAGAAACAATTGTGTAGTGCGAGACTTTTTGAATTTATCATTTTCAATGGATTTTCAGAAAACAGTTCAATAGGATGAAGTATGGTAGCTGCTTTTACATATAATCTACTAAACCAAAACGATTCAAAGATTGTAGATGTGGTTAAACAGAATATCAACATCTATACTCACATTCTTCTTGATATTGTTAAAAGTACTGGTTATAAATACAAGTTTTAATGCAGATTTGTGCAACTTTTTCTTAAACTCTAACGACATGGCTTAGAAACAGTTTTCGTTAAAACTTCAATGGCTAAAATATGATTAATGGATACATGTAATCGACTTATTTACTAGTTAAATCAATGATTGAAATCATAATAAAACATACGATATGAAATATAAATCAATAAGCCAAACAGAAATTAGAGCACAAAATAAATGACAATCTATTCTGATTGATTTAGAAAATTTAGATATGATTGTTATAATAGAGACCGATTCTAGTAAAAAGAAAAAAAGTAGATAAATTAATTCTTGTTGCTATGTTTCCATTTTATGAATTGATATTTTTAGTCTTTATTGAGGGTGTGGGTATGGATGACAGAGAGAGAGAGAGTATATGATTCATCAACATATCCAAACAACATCTGCATCCACACCGTATTTTGAATGTGTTCAAGTAAATCAGCATATAATTTTTCTGGATTCGATTCATGTGTGAATGCTTGTTCATATGGACGTCAATGTTCAATATTCGTTAACTAAAATAAATAAAATAGATTTTGCTTTTTTGTTGATATAATTGATATTTGCAGATTTTCTTTTAATATACCTGCAGATAATATTTTCGATCAGCAATAAGAAATAAACGATTGTCTGATTTTTCAAAACGAGCACTGAAACGTGATACCATCAATAAAAACCTAAAAAAGTAAAAGATATACTATATTATCTATGAAAATTCATTTTGACATTTCATGGCGAAATTTATTGATTTTGTATTGATCGTCATTCCTTCGAATTGCAATAAAGAGTTTTTGTTTTTCATTAATGCTTTACTATTTATCTTTTTCAAATAAATTTTAATTGTATGTGTAAGTCTTGATAATTTTTTAAAAGAAAACTAGGAAGAATATTTAACCATAGGCAGAATTTTACTCATAAGAGGGTGTGGGTGTGGGTATCATTATAGGTCTTGTCTTCACCCACACCCACACCCTGTGATAGACATGCACTTAACATAAGACAAGTTAACCCCCACATAGCCATACATAGTGATTTTTCTTTGTGCAATATGTCATTGATAATAAAGTCCATTCATTAACTTTAGTTGAATAACGTGCATTAATTAAAGCACGAAAAAAAAGCAAAAACTGTATATGCAAGTATGTATTATCTGATGATGATATTATTGATGAACTATCAATTATTGTTTGTTCTTTATTAACATGTTCATTATTTAATGAATTTGTATTTTTATTTGGTCGTTGTAATAATGTATAAATACATGAAAGTATTAACACCATATATCATTTTTGGGATATTGACCAACTATTAAAAGTTTTTCAAGACTAATTGATATAATTTTTTGAGTTAAATTATCATCTTTAATTAATGATAATCAAATATCATATGAATTTAAATCAACTTCATGAATAAACAGGATGCATATGCATGAGTTTTAGTTATTAATTTATAATTAAGTTCAATTAAATGTATATATAATTCATTATATTCTTTTGTTCTTTGTTCAAGTAATATACTAGATTTACATAAATTATAACTTATTAAGGATATTATTAAATCATCTTCATCAAACCATGTACAAATAAATCAGATAAATATATAATTGAACCTATTAATTCAAATTACATATATTTCAATTAGAATTTGTAATGATAATATTTAAATCAAAACCATGATGAAAAAATAAGTGATCAACTAAACTCTAAATTATATATTTTTAAAGATGGATGCCAGAAAAGAAAATGTTCATAATCTAATTTTTTGATTGATAGAATATATTTGAAATTATTGATATAATCTTTTATCTCTATGAAATAAGATAGTTTGCATGTATTATATATCAAATCAAAGTCAGAGAAACACTAGATTTTCTGTTTGATGAGATTAATAATTTAGCAATGAATTTATCTTTCTTTTAACTTAGAGTTCTATTTGTCGATTATTAAAACATATGTGAGACTTACATTAACTGATAATGGTAATGTATTATTACTTTGGATTGATGTTAATATAAAATCATATGAAAGTTGTCCATAGGATAATAAATCACGTGTACCTAACCGTTCAATATTTG